TCTCTGGCAATTTACCATTTTCTTTATTAATTTTTAAATATGTTTGAAATAACTGATGAGATACAATAAGCATAAAGGACCATGACTACCTTCCATTTTGTTCTTTGGTTCTCCAGCTACCAACTGCATTTATTACAGTGATTTACTTTGTCAGTCTCAGTTTCTGATCTTTTTCCTCATTCCACCTCCGTGTAGAAGCTTACCACTAAATATATAACACAGCTCATCTAGATTTTATAATTTTTACAACCAAATTTTAGCTAGGCTAACTAAACTTCAGTTGAATTTTAGAGTAGTGTTGACCTTAATACCACATTATTCTACAGTGAATATGGTATTTCCCTTTTATTCTTTGTATTTCTTTTTCGCAGCAAAATATGTGGAAGCTGGACTTCATTAGGCTGTCCTAATAATAAGATTTTAGGTCCTGAAATTTCTTGCGTCATTACCCTCAGCGTTCTGCTTTTAGATATACAACTAAATTAGAAGAGGAAGTATAATTTATTGAATTCTGGTATACCACAGCAATTATATGTATATGTGTATATTATTACATATACTCCTATTTCACAATATCTCTGTGAGGTAGGTACTACTATCCTAGGAAATTAAATTATATTAAGTACTTATCTATGATCACCAGATTTTAAAAAACCTAAAATGGAATTTTAGGAGTTTTCCCATCCAATTCCCTAGTGTGTGTTCTTTCTATTATACCAAGATAATAATTCAAAATATGGTTTTGAAATAAGGCTGAGTAGAAATCTAATCTGGTGAAATCCATTTTTTGGTTAGTGCATTTTTGATTCTGCAAACATTGATTTTGTTGACTTATAGGTAATATTAAATATATTTCACTTCTACCTTATTAAAGTCATAAACATATTTATTATTGTAGGATATTCTTTCCCATTCCTTAACTGTCTAAAAAATGAAGAAAAAGCTCTAAGAACAAACTGAGCCTGAGGTAGAATCCCTGTGTTATTCTTATTCAAATAATTTTCTGTATGATAGTAATAGACACCTTTGCAGATGAACTACTGAAAATCACAAGAACAGTCAAAACATATACATATAACTTTTCTCATGAATTTTCACAGAAGATATTCCAATTAATTGTTATATATATATATATATATATATATATATATATATATATATATATCCCCCCAGGTGGATCTTATGGATGTTGACATTCATAAAATGAGGTTTACCAGTATAGACTTTATATCACAAAACTTCATTTGGTGCACACTTCTAAGTCCATAATGATCCTGAAAAAAACCTATATATTGATGGTCAGGATTTGTTTTCTTAGAAATACCCTACTTTATAATTTTATACCCCTATCAGGCATATCTTTGCATGAAATTTTCAGTCCATGAGATTCTTACACTAATATAGCACCCCCTCCCCCAAGTCTCCGATATGCTTTTATGCTCATTTAACATCTGGCAAGCAAACACTTCCCTCAAACATCAACCAATTGGATTGCTGGTATATTTTTTCAGGTTAGAACTCTGATATTAGAAAATCTTATTTATAATATATGTAGAGCTTCTAAAACAAAATTAACCTCAAGTTGAAAATGAGACTTTTATTAAGGTGACCTATAGACAAATTAAACAAGACATCTCTTGATCAAAAAAAAAAAAATGAGAGGGAGAAAGAGAGATATTATTAGCCAAATAATTCTTTGAGACATGTAAACACAAAGCAAGTTTTTACCCTTGCATGTATATTCCAGCATGGTTTTGTAGGGGAGGAATATGTTAATAGTAAAATTACAGAACCAATTGTGACAGTTATCTCCAAAGAATTATAACACAAATTTAAGTGAGCAAAGATGGATGCATGGAATTAATTTCAGCCGGGTATCTACATGAAATAGTATTAAATAAAATAACATAATAAATCATAGATACATTTACCAAATTACAGTGACAATAGGGTCAACAAATCCCCAGGGTTATCAGGGACAACACAACAATCCTTTTATAAATATTTGGTGAGTGACCTCTGTGATTCTGCAAATATTCTTGTATTTTATTTAACTGAGCATATTGAGGTCATCAAGAATAAACTGCCTGTAAAATTACACTCATTTACATCTGAATCTGCCTTCATCTCCTTGTCTACAATGTTGACAAAACAGATGGCCCTTCTCTCTTTAAGACAAATTGTTCCACTGCTCTTGATCTTCCCCCATTCGCATATATTTAGAAACTTCATCCAGTGTTTATTTTCCATCTCAATAATAATTTCATCATTTTCCTAAGCCATTTCTTTCTTTAATATCTAAGATTTCTTAATCCTTCAAAATTGATAATCTTCCAGTTTCTGTCCTCTGCTCATTCCATAGATTTTGCATGGATGGCATCATTTATACCACATTTCAACCTATACCTCTTTATTTATAATGTGCAGTCCAAAAGCTTGAGCTAAAGACCCATACAGTCAACCACCTGCTGAATATCTCCTTTCTCTTGAAGACTCATAGGCATGTCACATCAGGATTTCCAAAACAGAACTTATTATTTTTCCTTAAAATCCCTGTTTTTTTCTTCTGAATTTCTAACATTGGGAAATGTAATCCCCCAAGCTTTAAACAAGGAGAAAATATTTTACCTGTTGCTTTCTTTTACTTCCTTTCATAATTAGGAATGAAATTCTGTTCATCCCACTGAGTAAACTTCACATCTGTTTTTTTTTTCTCATAACCTAATGCTATTGCCTTTATCATTATGCATTAATTAGTCTTCTGATCGGTATTTCTACATCCAGTCTTGACATTTTAGACTTTATGCTCCACAATGCTGCTAATATTGTATTCAGAAAAATTGCAATTCTGGTCATCTTTTTCCCCATTCTTAAACCCCTGATACTTCTCCATTTCTTATAGAATAAAGTGTAAACTTATTTATCTAATGCATAAATCTCTATTTAATCTGGCCTCTGACTTAGCCTCAGTCACATTTTTCAAGAATGACTTATAGATCTTCAAGAACCAAGCTATTTCATGTTTTCATGCTATTTTCCCAGAGTTCCTTGGCACAGAATATATTCAACCAATATTCTTTTTTTTAAAGATTTTATTTATTTATTCATGAGAGACACGGAAAGAGAGAGAGGCAGAGACACAGGCAGAGAGAGAAGCAGGCTCCATGCAGGGAGCCCGATGTGGGACTCCATCCTGGGACTCCAGAATCACACTCTTGGCCAAAGGGAAGTGCTCAACCACTGAGCCACCCAGGTGTCCCTTCAACCAACGTTCTTAAAGCCCAACACTATAACTGAAGAAAATGTGGCATATTGCCTAGCAAATATGTGCTTTCTCTTCCCTAGTAGAGAGCTATCACTAGACAATCACCTTGCATTTTGCATTTAGTGTGATCAGACCATAGTTCTCACCAATTGATTGGAAGTGAACCTGGCATCTGTCACTTTTGAGTTAAGTTACTAAAAGATTGTCATGTTTTCTCTATGTCATTTATCCTTCTCTTCTAGTTGGCCAGATGCAGAGAACAATGAGTTTCTAGGGAAAAAGCAAAATCATAAGATGAAATAAGTCTGAGTTCTTGAGACATTGCATGGAGAAAAGCTGTCAGTAAGTATCATCTACATTGAACAGTTAGTTGAGGAAAACATAAACTTCTATTTTGCTACACTACTAATATTTTGAGCTATAATTACTACAACAGCCAGTGTAATCTTAACTAATACAAAAATGGCTCAAATAAAATGAAATCCCTGTCATTTAGAAACTTTCAACCTAGTTGTGTTACAAAGATCCTTCCATAATGTAGTTAATATAATTTTTAATAGCTGAATGATATTACACTTAGAGTATAGAACATCACTTACTCATTCTTTTATTATCAGGAATTCCATTTCTGACTCTTCAGTGACACAAAGCAATAGTTAATAGCCTAGTGTATATACTTTGTTTCTTGTTCTATATTATTTCCATAGTCTAACTCCTTTGAAAAGCATTGCTGATCAAAGATTAGAATATTTAAATGAATATTGCCTCTATGGTTTGATCCACTATAAAAACCTGACTTGTAAACATGTATCTGAGTTGGAAGGTTAACTGATTCTAAGAGATTGGCTTTTAAAGATTATGACGTTGATATACAAAAGTGCAGAAACATTTTTATTTAATTAAATGAAAATAGGGATCCCTGGGTGGCGCAGCGGTTTGGCGCTTGCCTTTGGCCCAGGGCGCGATCCTGGAGACCCGGGATCGAATCCCACGTCGGGCTCCCGGTGCATGAAGCCTGCTTCTCCCTCTGCCTGTGTCTCTGCCTCTCTCTCTCTCTCTCACTGTGTGCCTATCATAAATTAAAAAAAAAATAAAAAAAATTAAATGAAAATAATTTATGGCCTTTTTTCTAAGAAAACTATCATATCTTAAGAACACCTTCTATTTACTGAAACAAGACTAAGTCATTTTCATAATAATCATCTTTCAGATAAGAAAAAATTATTAAGCTCACAAACCTTGATTAGTTACATGTTATACCTGAAGTGATCCATAGTTTGGTGTTAAAAAAGTCACTTTATCCTAATACTTGTTAAAAGAGGCTTACCACAATCAAAATATATAAATATTAAACAGCTTTTCAATGTATCATTTAGAAGATGAGGGTAGCAGACTTCCTTATAATATCTAAATTTCCTACAATATTTGTTAACATTGAATAAAGCTGACAAAGGAGAAGAAGGCTTCCCACTTTGCAGAGAACCCAACGGGGCTCAGTTCAAGAGTCCTGGAATCATACCTGAACAGAAGACAGAAGTTTAACTGATTGAGCCACCCAGATGCCCCTGGTCTACTCTTTTAATGCAACACAGACAGTACTCAGATAATTTTTATTTTTAATCTCATTTACTCTTTACCACTGTATAAGAAAAATCATGCATAACAATTACATGCATGCAGGAGTTCATGATGGAGGTGAGCACCTCGTTGACATCCAAATGCAATGATAATCAAGATGGATAAACTTTGCTCTTCATTCCACCTGCAGGCTTCTAGATTCATGTGTTGATTTATGCCAGCTCAATCTTCTGACTTTTCATCAAGATGTTCAGTATACAGTGTCTTCATTACGAACTATAGTTTTCTCTATCATTATAAGAAACACAAGTTAAGTAAGCTTTCCTCAAACATCAGTGATTTCTTTCAAGTTCCTGAACATGCTGCAGTAGGTTTGACGAGAGGGATTGATTTATCACTTTTTAAATAGATTCTTAATCTGCAAATCAATAAAAATGTTTCACTTCAGTAGTGGCACAGGGTGAATGACTCACCCTTGAAAGCAGAATGAACTAATCCTGGCTTTCTTCCTTTCTTTAATACACTCAGATTGCAATTGTGCTTTTTCTTGGTTCAGATTGCTTGAGAGGGTCTGGTATTTCAGCCTGTTTTCTCCATCAATCAACCAGGGATTGAATGCTAATCTGTTATGATGGTTATTTTAACTCTATTGTTCTTTTCATTATATAATAAGAAGGTTAAAACTAAAACATTCTTTAGCTAGCTAAAATAAAAACAAAAGGTAAGAATACACAAGACATGGCCATCACCTCAGCAAATAAAATGTGAAGAAAATTTTGTACCACAGTGACACGCAGTGTTTGTTGGATTCGGAACTGGTAGAAGTTTTTGGAATTCAGATATTGGGCAATTAGCTTGATTAAGTCTACCAAAGAGTGAAATTAAAACACATAGGATCAATTCTCTATTCTTCATACCTTACTAGGGGTACAGTACATTCTAAATATCTCTTCTTGTGGGAACGTCTTAGGTAGTTCAGAAGATACTCAAGAATAGATACTCAAGAATAGATACTCAGATAGATACTCAAGAATTCCAGAAAGAAGACACATGAGCCTTATAGTCATCAAAGGCATTTAAATATTTTTCTAGCATCAGTGAAAATTAAAACAAGAATACCCAAAGCACCCCATAATATCTTGATATAAGCATTTTGTGATCGTTCACATTTAATTTGACAAAGTCGGTAACAATCTGAATTAAGTAACTCCATGGTTTTGTAAAGTCCTTAAAAAATGGTAGTGGCATTTTCACTTCAATTATATCACTGACACCAAAAAGGAAACTTCCTAAAATATAAGACAAGTCTAACTTTTGAAAAGTTTTGAGAAAGTGACCTCATTTTTTTAGTCAAATAGTTTTTTTTTTTTTTGAAAGCACAAAATAGAAATGGGCTCCAATTAAGGTAAATAAATGCTTTTATTTAATCTTCATTTAATCATATTTTTTTAACTTAAAATGTTTAATTTAGGCTGTATTTACGAAAAACATATTTTCTTCTTTTTTCCCCTTTTGTTCTTTTTTAACAGTCTTAATAAAAAGAGCACTTCTTGATAACCTATTTTTCTTCACCCATGTATCAAGATCCATGGACAATGTGGGAAAGAAAGAAGGTAAAGTTGAATTTTGTGTTTTTATGTAGAGGCTATGTTTGGTGAGAGCCTCACCCAGTGAGGATAAAACTTATATTTAATATATTTATAGTCTATTTATGAGAACCCCTATTAGAAAATATATCACCCACAAATTATTGAAATAAAATAGGGAAGAAAGCAGGAGAGAAAAATCCAACACTGCTACAAAAGTTTGATGAGTCTTCCTAGTCCTGACCACACTTCAGTGACCTCCCTAGTACACAATGGTCATTTATATCTGCCCTTTGAGTGACACCATCTCATTCACTTATCTTACATGATCTTCCTGAACTCATTTTACTGCATGGCTTGGGTAGACCTTCTTGGTAGTCTCTGAGTAAGATTATATGTGATTCATCCTTGTGTACTTAAGGTAGTGAATATGTGATGATTATCATATATAGGACTTTTAAGTAAATTCATAATGCAAAATCTTTATTGACAGTATTTTCAAAGTGTGGGAAGGTAAATGTTCACATATATGCACACAATACCTGGGTTTGAAGAGACACCATAAAGACTTTAATATAAGTGAAAAAGTATTTAGTGAGAATTCCTAAGAACCCAGAGTTGAATTACAAATTGACATCACCTCATGAATTGGATTTCTTCTTGTAAAATCACAGTATGATATGAAAGTATAAAATTCAAACTATATTTTCTTATTTGTTTTTTCCTTATGATTCTAACTATATGTGGCACATACATTATTCTGACCCTAAGGAAATATAAAACATATTTTTAAAACTCAGAAGTCATTGAAGTGAGGATTCTGTTTTTATTAAAATACATTATATGAGTATCTGATTCTTACATAAAATCATAGTTAGAAATATAATATAGTGGTTTAAAATCTTTAGCTTCAGAGACTGACCATTTGTACTCACATTCCAGTTTTCCAGTATTTATTAGGTATATAACATTAGCAAAGTAATTTATTTTCTTTCTTGGTGTATGCATTTGTACAATGGGAATAGTAGCAGAATCTGTCTCATATGGTTGTTGAGAGAATTAAATGAGATCATTCATGTAAGGTGCTTAGCACACAGTAAATGCTTAATATATGTCATCTATTTTACTAACTTTATGGTAATAGCTAATTAACTTGATTTTGATTGAGGCACTTTATTGCCCTCATTAAAATATACATTAATCCATCATCTAATATTTATTGGCAAGGCACTCTGGTAAGTATTACAGTCTTAAAAGTATTTGCCATAAATAATTACCAAATCATTGGAAATTCTGACTTCTTGAGGCTTGAATAGTTAAGCAGTTATCCTAATTAGGCAAGGCTCTAGGTGTACAAGTGAACTCATGACCTGGAAAATGGACATGCTTAGGAGTTCAGTCAACAGAATGGTGTGAAAGATACTATAGCTTAAAGATGTTTTTAAATATTGCACACCAGTAAAGAATCTTATGACTTTTAACAGTGAAATCTGTTGCCTTCATGTCCTACTAAAATTCAAAATAATATTATTGGGTGTTTACTTTGGACCAGGGATCATGTTAGTGCTTTATGAACATGGCTGCATTTAATTCACAATCTTCCTATCAGAAGAGTATAACTATTATCATACAAATGAGAAAGCTAAAGTCCAGAGAATCTAAATATGTTTCCAAGTTACAGAGCTTGAGCAAAAACTGGAATTTGATCATAGTTTACATCTTCAAGACAGGTCACTGTTATCATGCCACCTCTCAAATATCTATTCCATATTTAAAAACCATTTTGGTGTCATACAACTGGCATCTGTACATAACAGTAAAGTTTTTGGAGTAACACCCATGCACAGCAGGACCTTAGCCATATCATGTGGATCACTGTTCTCTTATTAAATGAGTAATTCAGTGCAATGCTAAATAAATACAGTTTGTCCTTGGTTTGAAAGAATTTAGCATTTATAGTTGCAACTATTTTGTAGAGATTTTAAGGTCTATGGACATTAATAATTTGTAATTTTGTTGAGGTGAAAATTAAAATATGTACCACCATACTGGTATGTAAGAGTCTCACAGAAAGTGAGGACACCTAACTAAAATAGAGTCTGCATTTTGATATATTATTCTATGGTGTTTCTGTTCACAGATACTTGGATCAAGTGATTTCTAACAATTTCTATTAAGTTTTTTTTAAAATTTTATTTATTTATTATTTTTTAAAAATTTTATTTATTTGGGATCCCTGGGTGGCACAGCGGTTTGGCGCCTGCCTTTGGCCCAGGGCGCGATCCTGGAGATCCAGGATCGAGTCCCACGTCGGGGTCCCGGTGCATGGAGCCTGCTTCTCCCTCTGCCTGTCTCTCTCTTTATCATAAATAAATAAAAATTAAAAAAAAATATTTATTTATTCATGAGAGATACAGAGAAAGAGGCAGTGACATAGGCAGAGTGAGAAACAGGCTCTCTGATGTGGAAATCGATCCCGGAACTGTGGGATCATGACCTGAGCCAAAGGCAGACACTCAACCACTGAGCCACCCAGATGCCCCAGTTTTCTATTTTTTCCCTTCAGATTTTATTTATTTATTTGCTTGTTTGTTTCTTTGTTTTGTTTGTTTAAAAGAGCATGAGCAGGGGAAGGGGCAAAAGGGAATGGACAGAGGTGGAAAATCTCAAGCAGACTCTGTGCTGAGCTTAAAGCCCAATACAGGGCTTACTCTCATGACCCTGAAATCATAAATTACTAAAGTTAGTCTGAAAGTTATTCTTTACTGTATTTTTTGAACATTAAATTGAAATATTTTGATATAACGGGAAGGCTCATGTTTGTAAAACTGTTATGGTAATGTTGATTAAGAGTCGAGGGAGATTTTCCTAATTATACCATTCAAATAGTTACTCTGTGCATTAAGTGAGAAAAGCCAATATGCTTTATTAAAAAAAAGGAACAGAAAACTTTATATATTTATTCAGATTAATAATAATAATGCTTACAAACTACACTGAGATTTCCTGTTTACCCAAATGTCATTCATCATTTAATTTCATTTTAAAAAATTTCACTCTTGAAACAACCCTATTCCAACCCTAGGTGGAATTAGAATTTTCCTAACTTTCAAGATGAGAAAATTGAGACTTAACAGAATCAAGTAACATGCTCAGTACTAATATATTAAATCTGGTTCAGATGAGGCCCTTAAACTCCAAATTCTGTGCCTCCATTTTGACAATCTACTTTGCTAAGAATTGTTTTAAAGTTTTTTACTAATATTGGTATCTCAAACCATTTCAAGAATCATTTTATTACACTTCCCCTGTCTCTCCCCACCCCAAATCTACTTCTTTCATACTAATGATAGTGATCATCAGTATACCTAATTTCACTTTGCCAATTCCATAGTCACTTTCTTAAGTGAACTCACAGTAACTCTAAGTAACTTACTCAAAGAATCTCTTTATTGACAATAGTAATACCTAATAATTCATCTGGATAACAGGCAATGGGAAATTGTAAAATTATTTATGCATTGAGAGGATATTCTGTCAAGAGGGTACTGAAAAAAATAAATGCTTAAAGTAAAATGAAATCTTTAGAACAATAAAATTTGTTATGCATACAGCTCTACCTTTATGCTCATTTCATCAATTAGGAAACAGATTTGGAGAATTGAATGATTTTCCTAAGATTGCAAAGCTAATAAATAGGGC